GCTTACAGAGAAAACAACATTGCAGGCCATGTTAAACTTACTGACTTCGGACTCGCTAAGAAGGCCATTCTAGATAACAAGTCAGCGTCGACGTTTTGTGGCACTCCTGAGTATATCGGTGCGTGTTTTATAACCTGTGATTAGCTCTTGACACTAACGGTGCCACCCCAAGCGCGTCTTCAGCCCCAGAAATCCTCTGCAATTCAGGCCATGGTCGAGCTGCAGACTGGTGGAGCCTTGGAACACTGTTATACGAAATGTTGTGCGGGCTGGTAAGTTCATTCTAGATGCTCCATTTCATTCGAAGTTTTAATCCGGAAAATACAGCCTCCTTTCTATCATAAGAACGTGAACATCATGTATGATAGGATTCTCAACGCCAAGCTGACGTTTCCTGCTTTCCTCACTCCCGTGGCACGAGACCTTCTCTCCAAGGTAACGCAAACGATCGATCACTTGGAACTCACTATCTGTTGCTAGCAGTTGCTCGTGAGAAATCCTGAGACGCGGCTGGGAGCTGGACAGAGGGACTATGAAGAGATTATAGAGCACCAGTTCTTCGCATCAGTGAATTGGACAAGCATGCTACAGAAGAAAATCCGGCCGCCCTTCGTTCCACAAGTGAAGGTATGATGGCTGTATACAAGTTGAGCACTGCTGACAGCCCGATAGTTTCCATCTTGGACAGGCAGCCGATGATGTTGGAAACTTCGACGTGGTATTTACGTGTGAACAAATCACAACTACAGTGTGGTATGCTGATCAGTTTATTGGAGAGCGCTGAACTAAATCCAAAAAATGTTACAGAGAATTAATTGAGCGTGGCTGTGTGTCAAGGGAAATCAAATCCAGTACCAAAATCCAGTGAAGGTGTGCGTGTGTGTGTGTTGTTGTTGCGCAACTGCCTGCTTGAAAGTGAGTTTTGTCAACATGTACAAAAAAGAAACCTCTTCCTTTTTCTCCATTCCCTCGGTCGCGGTTCCCAGCCCTCCGCTTCTATGGCCTTAGTATGTACTTGTGGTCTATGCTTTCGAAGTCAAAAGGATCGTCCAGGGCCAGGGACGAAGCACCGCTACTCCTGCTGTAAGCAGCCACCGTGCTCGAGAGCGGCAATGCCAGGGGGTGAGTGTTGTTGCAGCTTGATGACACTGACGAGAGCAGTGGCTGTGCGAATTCAGGTTGGAGAAGCGAAGCCGACGGCTGCTGCTGGTGGTGGTGATGGTTCAGGTGGTGGTGCTGGTGAACCAAGCTCCGGGTGAGCTCCAGCTCCCGCTGCAGCCCCCTGACCCGCTCCGTCAGCTGCGAGATGATCCCGTAGCAGCCGTGAACCGGGTCCTTGTCCCGCACCTCCGCCTCGTAGATAAGTGACTTCATCGTCTCCTCCTTGTCCGCCGGGTCCGCGTCCCGCAGGAAGCGCAGCATGTTGCTCACGCCGAACAGTCTCTTGCAGCTCAGGAATCTCTGGTTGGCCTCGGCGGGGAAGTACGGCGCGAGCGGGCAGTCCACCGGGCACTTTCGCCGCTGGAACTTGCAAGCGGCGCACGCCTGGCTCGTTGTCATGCTCCCGTTGCTGCCGTTGCTCGAGGTCACGTTCATACTCTCGCTTTGCTGCTGCTGCTGCTGCTGTTGCTGTTGCTGCATCATCATCCAGCTCTCTCTCTCTCTCTCTCGCTCTCTCACTTCACTGTGCCTGCTTGATCTTCTGTTTCTTCACAGACGCTACGAATTCCCCGGCGGAGGCGAAGTGACCACCGAGAAATGCCGAAGATCCGCCGAAAAAATCCACCGCTGGAAGAAAGAAAAAAGAAAGGAACACACGCCAAAGGTCAGCTAAATGAGGTCACTATGACCCGCACGTAAATATAGCAAATAGCACATTGGCTTACTTTTATTAACCAGCGCCACGCAACGCCCATCTCTCCCGGCCGTGGGCAAGACTTAATTTACGTGTGGCCTGGATGCTGTCTCATATTTTTCGCCCTTCCACCTTTTCACTCTTCTTTTTTTACCAGGTCAGCTCTGCGAGATTATCCCGGAGCCGATTAGCCTTCGCGTATAAATAGCCCGCAAGCTTTAAAGTACGCTTAGCGAAGGTACGGTGTCCATCTTTTCTCGAGGCTGCGAGAAAAAAAGAGAAAAAGCTTAGCTTTGTGTGGACTGGAAGATCATAAAGTTTTGCTTTTGCTTCTACAGACCTGACACCACTCGAGAAAAAGCAGCACGATGTAGTCCAGGATCACGACGAGGCAAAAGAGCTTCCCCGCCCAAGGTCCGCAGCTAAAGTACCTGTGGAATCAAGGAGAGCGAAGAACTTCAAACGAGCACCGCAATGGAGTCTAGACTAACCGTGCAAGTCGGTCCCGCAAGTTGCTGCGAGGAGTGGCGGCGGCGTGGTTGTACACGACTTCGGTTCGCTTGGCTACGTCCATCCAGCTATACATTCTCGTCATCTACAGCACAAAGAGGTAAGTTTCTCCAGTTTTTATCTTCCTCTCTTGTCCTGTCCAAAATGGAAAGAGAGACTCACGTACGCGGTTGTGCATTTCCTGCGGGTCGATTCTGGGAAGAAGCTCGATCGCTTGACCGATGGCTTTTACCATCTCGCCCGGAACAGGTGTCGCGAGAACGATCATGTCCGGTGGAAGAACCTGGAGCAAAACAATGTGTTAGTCACGAAAGGTTTCGGAGAGACAAGATCACGACAAGGATTCACACAACATACATGCCTCTGGGACTCCACCGACGCGGGTGCTAACAGTGAGCAAGCCGCAACTAGCCGCCTCGAGGATTGCGATACAAAAAGCCTCGGTGAGGGAGCTGGAACGAGAGAGAAAGATCGAAACTTAAGCCATCGAAAGAGAACGAGGACTACTTCACCTGTTGAGAAAGATATGGCCGCGAACAAGCACGGAGCTCACCATGGCGTGAGGAACCGAGCCCAGCATCTCGACGCGCTCCTGAAGCGAGTGCTTCTCACGCATCTCCTCCAGACGAACTCTCTTGGGACCATCTCCACCGATTATAAAATCCACCTGCGAGGGAGCACGAGAGCTTGTTCCAACCGTGAACGAAAAAAAAAAAACTTGCAAGAGCTTACGTTTGGAAAGAGCTTGCAAACCTCCGGTATGACTTCCACCAGCAAATCTGCGCCTTTGCGATACACCAGCCTGCTCACCACCACCACAACGATGCGCTCGATCGATCCAGCGCGAGGCCGGGGCTGGAACATCGCAGTGTCCACGGCATTCGGGATCACAAACACCTTCTCTGGAGCGATCCCTGAGCGAAGCACCGTGTTCTCCTTGCTGGTGTGAGAGACGCAAATGGCGTGGCGGACGTCGGCGAGCGAGAACTGGAGCGCCTTGTTCATGTGGATGCTGCCCAGGTCCGCGAATCCATAGAGGGAGTGATCCGTGAACACCACCTCGAGGCCCATGGTCCTGGCGTGGAGGATCGCCTCGTGACACAGCGTGGAGAATGCCTGGTGGCCGTGGACGATGGTAATGGCCTCGCGGACGATGATCGAGCGCAGCACCGGGAGCGTGAGGAAGAATGTGGGGAGAGTGTTTTGCATCAGGAATGGCAGCCATGGAATGTAGTAGATCTTGAGGCCCCCGGTGAGGTAGCGCACGCCGGAGCGCTTGCCGTAGCAATGCGTGGCCACCACGACCTGGAAAGAGGAGATTATTACCCTACAAATCGCTCCGCGAAATGCCGATCGATCGATCCGGCGATGGAGGGATCCATGAATCGATTACCTTGTGACCGCGCTGCAAGAGGCACTGCGAGAGCGAGTAGATGTGGCTCTCCACACCGCCGAAATTGGGGTAGAAGAAATCCGAGACCATGAGCACATTGTGGCGCCTCCCATGCTCGTCGCCCATAGAACCCTAAATCTCCGGCATATTCCAGGCCAGATGGGATTCGAAAGATATTCTTTTATTCCTGGAAGGGAGTGAATATTCGGCTCCCGCCGGATTTAGTAAGCCCTAAAAGGACGGTTCCTTTTCAAGATATTTTGGGCATGGCGATCTTATTCGCGTCGGGCCAATGAGGAGCTGCCTCAGGGTGTCCCTTTCTAAGCCACAGCCACCTGTGCCGGCCAATGGGAAGTACGCCACGCGTCGTGCAACTAGCGCGGACGTGTTCCCTTCTCCTGGAGCCAAGGCATCGCCCCCAGTGGCCCCCATACCATGGCCGCCCAATCACGGCGATGACACGTTGCGTGTTGTCAGTGGCTGCCGCTGACGCGCGTATGATACTTTACTCTCACCTTCCCCACATATATCCTCCCTCGCTGTTAATCCCATGTTTTTTTCTTTCTCCTTCGTGGTGGAATGCACGCTCGCTCTATACTATTTTTTCTTGGTCTGTTCTAGAGAACGCTAGGTTTCTCTCCTCTCGTCTTCTTTCCTCTCGATCCATCCATCCATCCATCCAGCGATGATCAGCCGGCGATCGCGAAATCCCCGCGCGGAGGGCGAGATCCTTGCTCGCTTCCGCCCGATCGCGCCAAGGCCAGCGAATGTTTCTTCCTCTTCTACGCCTCCCATCAAGCCAAACGTTCCAGCAGCTCCTCCTTTTCCAGATTCCAGGCTCTCCTCCGCCAAGCGGTCCAGATCCTCGCCTTGCTGCTCCTCCGCTGCGCCAGCGCCGCTCAAGAAGCTCAAATCTTTGCCAGGGGCCTCTTCTTGTTCTTCCTTGCGGCCTTTGATTCCAGTCACCAAACCCTCCACCGCATCCTCGCGCCTCACGCAAGATCACGGCAGCAGCGATCTCCTCTCCAGCGCGCGATGTGAGCTCAAGACGCTGGCACTCCTCCCGGACGGATCATCCGCTACTGCAGCTCCACAGTCCCCCGGCAGCGATTCATCGCTCACCAGCCCCCAGCGTATCATCGATCCAGACGCGCGCCTCACGGAGCTCTCGCTGGGATCCACGTTGCGATCGTTGGAGGTGGATTCCTCCCGCGAGAAACTGGAGCTGGGGATTCCATCGTGGCGGCATTTCGACAATCTCCTCTTCGAGCGCAGTGCTCTGCCCATGGCTGTGACCGATGCTCAATCTGGCGGGATCCTGTGGAGCAATCCAGCCTTCTCAGCGGCGCGCGATGGAGATCTCCGGCATCCAGTGCCGCTGATCAGCTTCACGCTCACTGAGAAGTCTCAAGGTGTGATGTGGATCTTCGGGCCCAGCAACGCTAGCTCTGGCGTGGATTTCTTCCCAATGAAGCCACAAGCCGTGCGCGCCTCCATCGCCAGCGGCGTGCTGGAATCTCTAGCGGCCGCGAATCGATTGTAGGTAGCGAACTTATGAAATAGAAAGAAATTCTCGTAAGAACCCTAATCTAGGAGCCCTAGATTTCGAGAATGGCGGGGAGCACGCGCCTGGCGATCGCGCTCTCGGCGCTGGCGTACATTCTCGCAGGTAAGAATCGAGCGAGCGAGCGCGCGAGCAGCGACTTCGCGATTCATTCCCTTCTATCCTGGCGTAGAGATACGATCGCTTTGTGTCTTCTTGCGAGTTATTTCTTGGTGATTTACCCCTCTCTGGCCACTGGCATCCTGCTGATTTCCTCTCTGGGCACTTTTGGATCCTCCAGGGCTCCCATTTTGGTGGAAGCTGACGGAAGTGTACCGTGTGCCACTGCCATATCGCGAGGTTGAGGGATTCGTAACAAAGCAATCGTCGTCGTCGGCCGCGAGAGTACACTGCCAGCTCCAGATCGTCTTCTTCTCCAAAGAAGAAACTCCAGACCGGGATGCGAAGTGGAGTGATCGACTGGAAGTGGTGTTGAGGGCCACTCGCGAGTGGTCTAACACTGGATCTTGTGAGATCGAAGTGGCCGTGACGCTAGATGCCAAGGGACTGTGTCTCCACAAGCGTGGGGGAGATAGAGCGAAGCCGCTCTGGGAATGCGGCCGTGTTCCTGACAGCCTCCATAGCCAAGACTCCACCTCGATCGACGAGAGCTTGAAGGACTATATCGGTGAAGATCGAGCAGGAAAATACACCATTCTAGTTCTCCTCGATGGAGAGCTTTCGCAAGGTGGTGGTGCCGAGGCCGTGGTGGGAAAGTATCGTCATGCATGGGTGGTTTTTCCACCGAGTTTACTGGGGAATGACGAGCAGCTCACTCGGATTATTTCCGAGACAGCGGGTGTTCTTCTGGCGGGTGGAAAGTCCGCGACTGCAGTGGCAAAGACGATGCCTTTAGCCGCGGATGGATCGGCGATCCTGTCCTTCAGCTTGCTCAACGCGGATCCAGAAAACTGGATTTTCAACTGGTACTCTGAACTTTTTTTTTTTTCCTTCTCGAGAAAAAATCTGATCTTCTGAATCCATTTGCAGGGACTTTGACAGTGTGGAATCGCAGTATCTATCTCCTGTCGTCGACGCACTGGCTCCCGTGGCGCGTTTAAGCGTTGAAAGCCAGGTAACTCGAGCTCGCGCTTCCATGAAGCTTCTTTTCGAGGTGCTTTGAACGTTTCTTTCCAATTTCCTAGGTCCTATACTACACTCCAGCAGCAGCGAGGTCCCAATGGAACGCAGATATCCGGTCGCACGTTATTGAATCAAAGGATCTCTCCTTTTTTGTAAGCTCTCCGGTCTTTGGTTTTTTCCTAAAGTTGCTGCTCCTACAG